CAGAGACAGTTACCATAACACAGACCTATTTTCCAAAATTCGTCGTTCATGGGATTTGAACTCTAGACCTGCCACTTAGGGGTTGACAACCTGACCACTTCACTAGGTCGCCACACCCCCTTGTTTCTTTTGTTCTTTTCGTAGTTTGTATAGGTTTCTAGTCTCAACTGAGAGTTTGTAGTCTGGGTAGTCTTTTTTTATATGATCTGCTTTGTCCAGAAGAAGCATATCTTTAGGGCCTCTTTCCAGTTAGTAGTGACTCTGTGGTCCCAAATATGTGTAAATCTAGGAATTCAACTTGTCAAATCTGAGTCATCTGTCATTTCAAAAATTACAACTTACTGGTTTAACATTATAGAGGTTCCTTTGTGGATCAGTGGCTTAATCGATGAGATTATGCTAATATCTTAAAATGCTTCTTTAATCTGCTCTGAAATAAATTTTTTTTTTCCTATTAGTGCATTTCGAATTCTGACTGATAGGAAATTGCATCTAATGTTTATAGGAATATATTCTTGTAAGATCTGTTTAAAGATATTAACACCTTTAGCTGCATATTGCTGTTGTTTGTTTTTATCTAAAAACACAACCTCTAAATGGGTTCTTTTGTTTTTGTTAATCACTGGCCAGGCTGCAACCAGGTCTTCTTCTATTTCTTGTTCCAAAGCTTCTATGATTCTTGTAGTAGAAATATTTTCTAAACTAAATAATTCAAAAATTAGCATATTTTCATTTTTGGTAATAATTCTTTTTTGTAAAAAATAGGTAGAGTAAGTGGCTTTTCCTCTTTCCAATTTTAAAAAAAGATCAGACCACTGTTTTAGTTTGGTTTGTTTATCCTAGGCTTCTGATTGGTTGTTTATGTGATTGGATATAGGCTTCTCATATATTGTTTGTTTTGTTTATTCATCTGAAATTTGATCTTTATTGCTCAAAGAAGTGACTAAAGACAAGTCTTCTTCTTCAAGTTCTGTTGTTTTACTCTTCTGGCCTTTAGGAGTTTCTATAGTAACCTCTAGCATATTTTCTTTTTTCTGTTTTTTCTCAGTAATAAGACTATCAGATCTGTTGTTTTCTTCTTGTTTTATTTTTTTGTTTATATCATCAGAGCCAAGACTAGACTTTTCTTTAAGGCTTGTGATTTTGGTTTTTTTATTTTTGTAACTCATTGATACTGAACTAGACATAGTTAAACAAGCTTGTTTTCTTTTCCTAAGCACAAGGGTTTTAGTTTTTGTATTGTTTTTAGTAGATTTTTTCAATAAAGGTTTAATAGTTTTTGTTTATTTTTTTTTCTCTACTACTGAATATAAATGGAGAGAGAGAGAGTTTGACCTTGATAATTTTTTAACTGTTGCTATGTAACTAATCTTTTTTCTTTTATATCAATCAGCTGGTTTAGATATACTAGACCTTCTTTGTTTATTTTACTTCACATCTCTTTCATAAGTCAATGTTAACAAGTTTGTTTATTTTGGTACTATATCCAAACATTGTTCATAAATTGTCTTCTGTTCTTATGTTTATTTTTAATTTTTTTGCTTTTAATATTGTCAAACAAACTAAATTATTCTTCTAGCTGTCTGCATTTTTTAATATCTTCTTTATTTTCCATATGTCTTCCATTAGGCCTGCCTTTTGGCAGCCTTGTGTTATTCTTAATTTTGTTAACTGTCCAAGTTCATCTTGTCTGTTTAATTTTGTTACTAGCCCATCTACTTGTTTTATTACTATCTTTTGTTGTAGTGTCCTACAGCTTTCAAGATCTTTGTGTTCTATTATGCAGTTCTCTAATGTTCTTTACAAATTACTCTTCTGTTTTGCCAAACTTATTATTAGTTGATGTATTTTATTTAAGCTTCTTTTTGACATCTTCATTAGTTGTAGCATGTAACTTAGTTTTGGTATTATAACTATATTGTTTATATATGCAATTTGACTTATTGATATTTTTTTGTATCTAAGGTCTCTTACTGTTTGACTTATTATTCCTTTTGCTTTTTTCTTTACTGCACTTATTTTTTGGTTTTTTTATGATTTTACTTTTTCCAAATATCACTTCTCTTTCTTTCTTTTTCAACTTTGGATTCATTATTAGTAGCTTTGATTTTGCTTTACTTATCTTTATATTATTTATTATGAAGAACTCTTCTGCTATTTCTAAGATCTTAATTAGCTGCTATCTACTATTTGCAATCTATGTTGTATTGTCAGTATATGCAATTGTTGCTTGATGGTAACTTGTACTATTGTTGCATTGTATATTTTTTTTTACTTGTTGCTTTACTGTATAGCTTAAGCTTTCATCTTTTTGTACTTTTTTTAATAATAGATTATAGAAGAGCTGCCATATTAAAGATGATATCACTTCATCTTGATCGATATCATCTCCTACTGTTATTTTCTCTGTCAGGCCATAAGCTGTAATAATTCTTAATTGTCTTTTATAAAACAGGTTTAAAATATATTTCACTGTTCTTTCAGATATCTTAACCCTTTGCAATGCTAGTTTAAGACTTCCAAGTAGAACTAAATCAAATGCCTTTTTTATATCTTGCAAAAATATCTATACTTTTTTGTTCTTTTCTCTTGCTTCTTTTATTATTATATTTAAGATATGTATTAGTTATTCTGTTGAGTTACCTGAAAGGCCTGCGTAATTTGGTCATCTAAGTATTTTTTTTTTCATAAACACTCTAGCAAGTCTTTTTGTTACCACCTTTGTCACAACCTTTCTAAATGTTTCTATTAGTGCTATTGGTCATATTTTGTTTAAGCTATATCTCTATTCAACATCTTTTGGTATTAGATATACTTATGCTATTTTCTATTTAGTTGGAATCTCTCTCACTTCTAAACACAGATCTGCAAAGCTTATGAATACTTCTTGTGTTTTTCCTTCTATTCATTTTATTAAAATATAGCTTATTCCTAATATACCTGAAGCTGTTTCTATCTTTAACTTTTTTAATACTTCTTCCCATTCTCCTTTCTTGATTTCTTGTTTGACTTTTGTATACTATTCTTCTTTTATATTCTTTTATGGTTTGTATATCTCTTTTCACTTTTCTGACATCTCTTCTAATTTGGTGTTTCTTTTCCTAAACTGCTTTTTGTAGTGTTTTGTTACTTCTTTTTTAACTTCTTCTGGCTTTGTTAACAAACTTGTTTCTTCTTTATTCTGCTTGATGAATCTGTTAAGTACTATCTTCTTATATGGCTTATTTAGTAGACTTGCTATCATCTTTCCTTGGTTTGTCTTAATCATTTTACATCTTTTATCTATATTGTCTTCTATTTGCCTTCTTTGGACTTGCTCTTATTCTTTCTTTTTTCTTTCTTGTAGTAGTTTTTTCCAACTCTTCATATCTTCTATCCATGTACTTGACCATTGCTTCTGCAATTTTGATAGTTTTGCACCTATTTCTTTGCCTAGTTTTTTTAATTGTTTATTTATTTTGCTTTCTTCTTCTTTTGTCACTTTTTGGTCCTTTTTTGTCTTTATATATTTGATTAGGCTTTGTATTTTAATCAAGTTTTCTTCTAGTTGCTGTTTTTTTTGATTTTTTCTATTTGTTACTGTGTTGTATATTTTCTTCTTGGATATGTGCTTGCTTGCTACTATAATAATTGTTTTTTCTATTATATCTCAAATATTATTTATTTTGTTTATTTTTTTGTCTTTGTCTTGTTCTTTCTTTTGAATATTCTTTAGTATTTCTTTAACTTCTAGTTGATTTTGTAACTCTTATGTATAGTTTTTTCAATCTTTTGTTTTTGCTTGATCAAACAAATATAATGTTCTTGACTGTTTCTTCCTCTTAACCTCTGCTTTACTTTTTCTTACTATTACATATTTAATCTATATTTCTGCTTTTACTATTTTATGATCACTTTTTATAATTTTCTCTGCTTCTTCAATTTCTGCTCTTTGTAGCCCAGTTGCTAGTCTGTTTGATACTCATATATAGTCAATTATTGTTGCTACTTTTTTACTTGACTATGTGTATTGTTGTTTAGTTAGATGCATATCTCTATATGTATCACTAAAATTCTGTTTTTTCATCTAATTAAAGATTGACAGTCTTTTGTAGTTTGCTGATTGTGGATGTTGTTGTCTAGTATATTGTTTGTTGTATGATTGAAGTTATCCATTATAACTATTTGTATTCGTCTTTTCCTTTTTAGGACTGTTTCTACAATTTTTTGTTAGATGCTCTTTCCTATTATCTTGTCATTCAGTAGTATATAGACCAAGATTATTACTAACTTTAATTGCTTAAAGTATAGTATAATTTTCATCATATATTCACTTATTTTTTTAACTGCACTTATATGTTTCTTCCATTGTTCATTTACCAGAATTCCAATGTCTGATCCTTTTTTCTTATCTTTTATTGCATTTATCTAATGTTTTATATATTTATTGTTTGCAATATATGTTAAAAACTTCACTTTTCTTTCTGTAAGGTTTGTTTCAGTAATTCTCAGTATTGCAATTTCTTCTTTTTTTGCCCAACCTACAGATTTCTAAGTTTCCAACTTTTAGTTTTAAGTCTATTGACATTATGATATGCGATTTTGATTTCTTTTTTTTCTTCTTTTTACTTTTCTTTTAGATTTCCTTGTATTCTTTTCTTCTTTGTTATGCTTTCTTTTTTTTTCCTATTTTCTTTTCTTCTCTCTTTAAATATTTTCTTTTCACCTTGCAAAAAATCTCTAATCTCCTCATCTATATGCATTAGTTCAACTGGTGCACTCTTAGAAGTGATTAGCTAGGACTGCCTGACCTTGTTGAGTTTCTAATCTTTCTAATCTTTCTAATATTTTCTGAAGAACATTGTGCACCTATAGCTTTGTTTCTTCAATTTCACTTTTCCTTCTTTTGTAACTATTGTGATGCTTGTCTTTTTTTTTTCTTATTTGTTACTATTGCTGCTTCTGTATACTTTTATATCTGAGTCTTTAGTGATATCTTCTATGTTAATATATTTAACATTAACATTTTTATTATTGTTTATGTATTTGTCTTTTCCTTTCTTGTGGTCTTGCCAAAAGAATAAATAGTTGTTGAATCTTATTAGCTTTGTTTGTGCTGCTTCTATTTTTTCTGCTGATGCAAATATAATTGTAGCTAATCTTTTCTGGTTTTCATTTCTATTAGGTGATATGTACACTAATTTTGCTTCTTTTTTCTTTAAACATCATAATAGCAATACTTCTGATGCATGTCCTAGAAGTTCTACCAGCCTAGTTGTGAACTGGTTTTGCAGATTACACCAATTAAAATCTTCTTCACCTAATATTATTCTTGCTAATTTGTGTATTTCTATTGGCAATGACTATAGAATACTTTCTTTATCTATTTTTTTTGTCTTGATTATTGCAAACACTTTGTATTTGGATCTTTTAATATATTTTACTTGGGCTCCTTTAATACTTCTGCATATGTAATCTACTTCTTCTGTGTTAATGTTAGTTGGCAAATCCTATATCGTTAGCAATGATCCTATTTCTGACTTATTTTCTATTATATAAGTTTCTTTATTATTTTCCTTTTTTTTCTGTCTTTTAGAATTTTTGGGTCTTTTCTTTTCTTTTTTCTAGTCTTTGTATACTTGTTGACTTTGTTTTCTTTTTTGACTTTCTTGTTTTTCTGAAATAATTTTGAGCCATTTACCTTCTTTTTCTTTGATTCTCTATTGTTGCATCTCTGCTAAATTCACAGTTAAAGCTCACCTCTATCCAACTATTACCATTTTTAAATATCTCTTGAATTGATTTAATATAGTGATTTTCTCGAAAAATCTACTGAGTGTATTTTACTCTCTCTTTTTTGTTCTCTTCTGATACTTGATATGTTGGTATATTTGCTTTAAATAATCTGCTTTTGTCACATATATGATTCCTTAATGACTACTGATTTTGCTTTATCATGTCTGTTATTTTGGGGATTTTTTGGCTTTCTTCTTTTGCTTTTAGTTCAGCAATTTTCTTGTCTATTTCTTTGATGTCTTCTTTAAGTTTATATATTTTACTGTCAATTGGAAAATCTTGGTCTTTTTTATCTGTTTCTTTTCCATTATTATTTCCATCTTTTGCTGTACTTTGCAGTTTTTTTTCAGTTATATTTTAAGAACTTACAAGATTTGGTCATTGCATAGTTGAAATGTTTAGTTCCTTTATTTGTTCTATGACTTCTTGCAAATCTTGGATTATTTCCTTCTCTTCATTGTTGTCTTCTTTATTCACCTTCTTCATAGTCAGTGTTATTTTTGTTTCTTTGATTTCTTTTATCTTTTTTGTTCTCTTTGGTTTAATTTTTTCCTTAGATATTTCTCTTTTATTTGTATTTTCTTAGTAGTTGAATGACCCTGGGTTTATATCTATTGTTGCTAATTTTGTTGTCTATTCTTTTACAATACTATGTGATACTGTGCATACTGCTGCTATTTTAAGTACTTCTAAAATTTGATCATACTAAAGTAGGTCATCTGGTGTTATATTTTTTGAATCATAGACTGCTAGATCTCTTGCTATATACTTTAAGTTGTTTGACTTATTTATTAGTTTTGACAAGATTGAATCTAGTATTTTGCTATCTATATATATCCTATTTCTATCAATGAAGTTTCTAATATGTTGTATTAGGTTTATGCTACATGGTAGCTTCAATCTTGTTTGTACTTCTGTTTCTAAGCTTTTCTGATATTTATTCATTTGCTTGTTACATATGCTGTACTTACCTATTGTTTCCTAATTAGTCTAATTATCATTGATTCTTGTTGTTGTTTGGTATAATGTGACATGTTGTTTTGGTTTTGTTTATTTTGTATACTGGTCATATGTTTCTGATTTGTTTTTCTAGATCAAATGCTATTTTCCAATTTTCCCAAAAATTTTTAATAAAAGTTTTAAAAACTAGCAACAGTTTTATTTAATAAAACTTTGCTTATATTGTTATTAAAACAAAGTAGTTGTATTTTGTTTGCTGAGTCTTTTTTCTTTGATGTCTAAGTGAAGTTTATCAGACCATTTTTATGTTTTTCTATATATTTGTTTTTAGTTTTTTTTTTTTTTTTTTAGTATATAAATAGTCAAGTTTTTTATATAAATTTGACTTTTTTTATTTCTTCTTCTAAAAAATTATCTGATTTTTGACACTTCTTTTATTAATAATATTTTAACTATTTTTTTCTGTTATTTTACTTGTTATTTATTCTTATCTTTATTTTTTTGAATATATTTGAAAATTTTTAAAAATTGAATAATTATTTTTGCATGTTCTCTAAAAACTACTAGTATTTTTTCTGAAATGTATATATTGATGATTATGTCATGTATTATAATTATCAATATTATTTCTTTAAATAATCTATTAACAATAAAATTTTAAGAAATAATCTTATTTTGTCAACTTAGATAGAATATCAAGGTATCTAAATTATTTATATATTATTATATACTTTTAAAATTATTTTTAGTACAAACAGAATTATAAGATTACAACTTTAAAAAGTATATATTCTATAAAAAGATCTGTTTAGAAATTTTAAATAAAGAGATAGTATAATCTTTAATACTATTATCAATAAAAATTTTAATCTGAAAAAAAAACCTAAAACATATAACTTATACAAGCAAGAACTCTTAGATAAAAAAAATTTACCAATTTGACTATTAATTGATTCAGATATAAAGTTACATTATGCAAAACTTACTAAATTAGTAATATAAAAAAACTTATAAGAATAGACAAAACATCAGTAAAATTGTAAAAAGAAGATACTGAGGTTATATAAACTCTATAAAAATATAATAGTTTAATGATTAATTCTGATTGTAAGTATTAGTCTCAGTTATAACAATATTAGGTTAACTGTAAATAAAAATATAAAAAACTTTGATAGATTTAATATAAAATTAAAAGTCTTTATATAAGTAAATTGCTTTAAAGACTTAATGATTATAACATGTTTATACTAATAAAAACTAAGGCAGTTGGTAAGATAGGTAGATAGATAAGAGAACCAGAATGTTTAAATAGAGAACTTACAAACAGGTTTTAGATATACTGTTGTAATACAATCAAAAAGCTGAAACATATTATCAATAAAATCCCGAGTTACAAGTATTCATCTTAACATTAAAAAAAAATAAAAAATTGATTCTTATGTATTTTAAAGTTGTTTACTAATATAAAGAATAAAAAAAAATTTCGGTTTAATATATTAATTTAATTAATTTGATTTTTTTTGATAAAATTACAGTATTTTGTAATTCTGTAATTGTTAAATTATGTTTCTCTTAATAATCAACGCCGCCTCTAATTGGATAAAATCCTAGGCCACGGCAAAATGATCTACAATAATAGCGAAAGCCCGCTATGCTTTAACCCGGATATCTGACCCACCCGGTCAGCCCTAATCACTAAGCTAGAGTTAATAAAGAAGAATTCCTGCGGTTTCTATCTTTTTGTAACATCCTTTTAAATGCCCGGGATTCTTAATCATTGTGATGCGGTAATCCAGACAAGCCCTATCGTTATGATCAGGAATCCTCTAAATTTAATCTTTAACATAGAAAAGGATCTCAGGGATACAGTCATGTGCTCTTAATTATCAAACAGACAGGTTTCAAATTTTACATGTGACTTAAGACTAATTACGCTCGCGTTCAAATACTTATCGTTATTATATCAATGCAATGAGCATCTAGGATTTCAATATACAGTTTATTTAATCTATGTTTACTTTCTATCCAAATTCCCTAATTCCAATTAAACAAATGATATGTATTCCTATATAAAATTATTTGGCATTACTTTTCTTTCATTTAATTTGCTATTTTTTTTTATGGGTTGGGTTTTTTCAGATTTGCCGCAAGTACAGTTAATTATGGATATAACGAAATTTTGGGCTTATTAATAAGATATTTAAGAAAAATTCGTGAGAAAAGACAAAATTAACACAACAAAATACTATCACTATTTATTTTTATCAGATTATTAACATGCTTGTCAATTTATATAGGCAAATTTTGAATGTATAAGTGCTATTTATGCCGTTTTTTATATCATAATACATATTTTGTTGCATTACTTAAGATATTTTATTATTTTGAATGATTTATATTAAATGTGTCACATAGTCGTGTGGAGCTAGTTTGAATATTTTAAAGGTCATCGTCTTCCTCTATTATAAGTTGATAGTATCATGTATTAGCAAAATACGAGGGCATTTCAATGATAAATAAAAATAATAGCAAACAAACCGGGAAGAGGTTGGGCCGCGGCGATGTCCAAATCCTTGGTATATTGTTCCATCAGAGAGTGATCCACTGGAACTTCTGGCGGCGCAAGTGCTGGAGAGGCGACGAACTCAAGATTTGGATTACTATTCATAAAGAAACGTATTATTTTTTCACAACCTTATATAATATAATATAATAGTCATTGATCGATGCGGCTGAAACTATAACATTGTAAACCTTACCCAATGAGCTTACGGGCTAACCACAAGAAAGGTTTTTCGAAATTGTAATTACTTTTTGCTGAAATATCATAATATTGGAGGTTCTTCTTGCGGTGGAATGTAATAGTTTTAGCCTTAACTTTACGTTCCTATAGGAACAAACCAATTTAAAGAATTATTATTATATGTAAAAACGTACACTAAACCAAACCTTCTTAATGCCTAAGACAAATATTTGCGTACTACATATAACTAAATATAACAAACCTTTATGTCAACCTTGTTACCACAAAGAACAATTGGAATATTTTCGCATACTCTTACTAAATCACGATGCCAGTTTGGTACATTTTTATATGTAATTCTGGATGTAACGTCGAACATGATGATGGCGCATTGTCCTTGAATGTAGTAACCGTCCCTGAGACCGCCAAATTTTTCCTGACCCGCAGTGTCCCATGTATTGAAGCAAATAGGGCCGAAGTTGGTATGGAATGTCAAAGGATGTACTTCAACACCAAGAGTTGCTAAGGTTAAGAAGTAAAAAAAAAATCAATAGCAAAGTCCAGTTGAAACGTCAGGATCAACTTAAATATAAGTGCAGTTAGTCTTTTAATATGGCATCCAGTTTACTTACCCACATACTTCTTTTCAAATTCACCTGTCAAGTGGCGTTTGACGAAAGTTGTCTTGCCGGTGCCACCATCACCGACTAAATGTTATACCGCGTAAAAAATATTGATCAAATATAACAAATATAAAAAAGCTCACGAATCCTGAGAATACCAACCTAGAACAAGCTTAAAAGTAGGTACTTCTTGAGACATTTGTTAGAATCTTTCTGTTGAAAAGGTGAACCCGCAGCCACAAAATAATAAATATCACGAAGGGATCAGTAAGCTACCGTTTTGGCAAGTAAACTCAACGCGTTTTTTTCGTAAAACAAAAAAAAAAAAAAAAAAGCAGAAAACTGAACAAACAAAAATGTAAAGGGATGGATGGATAAACACTTACCGTCGGTATGGATTTTTCTAGGAATAATAGGGATAATAATAGTCGGATGGCTATTTCTACTCATATCAAAAGTGATCGTTTTGCATGCAACACAAAGTGACGTTAACAGCCTAACTGATCTGGAATGAGTAAATGATTTGTTAATCCATCTTTGACTAAGGAGGTAGTGCAGTTTGTATTGTTTTGCGCATCATAGTGGCGCAATATTGTTAATAGCAATATAACAATTCGCTTTATTGCTTAAACCTGTTAAATGTTTGTTTTAATAACTGGTAATTCGAACCGGTTGGGCTATAATCGGTTAACCGACCCGAACCGAATAACTTTCGGGTAACCGGTTGAGTAAATTCTTAATCAGTTGATCCATACAACTGGTTTAAAAGAAAAATAAATGAACATAAAAGATGAAACAAAAATTTGAATAAAGATTTAAGACATTTCAAAGGTAAAGTGTAAAGTAATCTTAATCAGTTGAATTTGTTAACATAAAATATTTTGGTTTGGTTAACTGATTAAAAAATTTTTTTTTAGTTTAAATTATTAAACATAATAAACATCTTTTGATCAGTTTTGCTAATTTAATCAAAAAACTAAATTTAAAATTTTTTTTTTTTAATATTAGTCTAAGTTATATATATATAATTTTTTTGGTACTACTTTTTTTTTCTATATATATATATTTTTTTTTAACCTTAAGCAGTTATGCTAGTACTTTATTAAGATTCTTAAAACTATATATTTTTATAATTATATAGAATTTTTCAATACCTAAGTTTAGCATCACTTAGTTATCCAATTGGTATCTAAGTGCAATTTGTTGCATTATCTCAGTTAAAGATAGACTGCTTATCTAACTACTTAAAGCTATACCAGAAGAGTTTTCTCCCTTTTGTAACAAGTATATTAATTGTTTTTCAAGCTTCTTTTTTTATTTGATTTAATTTTTTTGTTTTGTTTTCTTTTTTTTCTTCTTTTGTCAGCTTGTCTTTCTTTATGGTTTTCTTCAATTTTCTTCTTATTCAAGCACTTTTCTTCATTTTGCTTGTTATATTGATCTTTTTTTCTTATACTTGCACTTTTTCATATCAGACTCTTCATATTTAGTCATAAAATATATTTAATACTGTTCTTGTTACTATATCTATATATTTTTGTATCGTCTGTCTACTTAGAATTTGTTCAAGTCTTTTTCAACCTCTGTTATGACTAGTTCTTTTATCATTGATCTTCTGTTCATAATTTTTTTTATTTCTGTTTTTCTGAATAATGCTTTATATAGAATTAGAAGTGAAATTCTGTTTTTTTTACTTTTTTTAAGACTGTTCTATATTGTTGCTATTGTTACTTTTTGGATTCTCTACTACAAGTTTTTTTGTTCACTGCAGCTTGCTAAGTATATTTGAGTTTCTTTTTCATCTTTTTGATAAACTTTGCAGTCTGTTACTGTATAAATCTCTGGTCTTCTTCTATTTAACTTTTCTAGTATTGGTAGACTGTTCATTATGTATTTGATTGATGTTGTTTTTCTAATACTAAGTTTCTTTGTTATATAGTATATACCTTTTGTTCTATTTATTTCTTTCCAAAAACTTGATCAATTATGTTGTATATTTTTTGTTTCTGATTCTAATAATTAGATTGGATTTGTTTTTCACCAACTGGCTCTAATTCTAGCATTTGTCACTATTTTGTAAAGAAGTCTTGTTAGTATATTGATCTTTTTGTTTTTTTATCCTAAGTAATACTCTACTCACTCACACTTGACCTTATCTGCAGATATTGTTTTATCATATACTACTTCTTTTTTCACAAATATATTTGCTTTGTCATTCTATTTATTATTACTATAGTTTTTGTTCTATTTTGATGTTATTGCTTTTGACTAGATTTATAATATTTATTAGTTACATTGCTTTTTTTTTTCAGAACTTTGACATCACCTACATCTTGAATTGTTCTGCTAATGTTTCTTAATATTGCTAGATTGTCTGTATATACTTCTATAGTTTTCTTTTCTGGTATCATTAAAATTGCTGACCATATTGCTGCTAGTTCAACTGTTATTACTAAAAACCAACCTTCAAGTCTCAGTGCTATCTCTTCTTTTGGCCAATTTCTTCTATTTCCAACTTGTACCTAGCTTATATTTATCTCTTTCTCTAAATAATACCCTATTTGTATAACAGATATATTTGTTATTATTCCTTATTATGTTTCTCATAAGAGTTTCTATTAACTAAGTTGTAATCTTCTTCTTGAATTTTTGTTTTTTAATTAATTCTATCTCTAACCCTTCTATGTATTCTAACCCAGTTAATTCTCTTTTTTTTTTTTCTATTCTCTTATTAATCTATTTTCTAGCAATTGTTCTATTGTTGCATTAATCTTGTTGTTGTTATTTTTTATTAGTGTTACTAGAATTACTTTAATACTATAATAAAATTTACTAAAAACTATCAAGCTGTAGCAAATTTTAAAGTGATGAGGGTTGAGTGGAAGATCTTTTATTTAAAGAAAAATAAAATAAAATAAAAGAAGAAATATAAAAATAAATAAAAACAACTAAAAATAAAGAATAAATATTTAAAAATA